CTAACTCATTGCATATGCATTTAGGATCTAGAAGAGTGCTAACACCCTTGAAAATATTTATGAAAATATGCTAACACATGTGCACAAGGTGATACACTTGGTGGTTGGCACATTTGATCAAGGGTGAAGAAGATAGAGTTGAAAAGGAGTTAGTCACGCTGGTCACGCAGTGACCGGACGTTGGGGTCCTGCGTCCGGTCAGTGAAAGCAGTGAAGACACTGGCATCGGTCTTCGACCGGACGCTGGGTCACATTTTGACTAGACGCTAAGTCGGTGCGTCCGGTCCCGCTGACGTGGCAGCGCACAGAGGAGACGTTGAGTGACCGGACGCTGGGTGAGTCCGGTCGGACATGACCGGACACGTCCAGTCATGATTTTTCACTTGTGGTACCTTACTAGAAACGACCGGACACTGGTGTTGGTGCGTCTGGTAACTACTTAAATGTACTAATGACCGTTGAGATCGGGCGATCAGCGTTTGAAGCCGATGACACGTGGCATGCATCGGGCGATTGGACGCTAGGGTCTTGCATCCGGTCGATCTGACCGACGCATCCAGTCACCCCGAGCAGTGCCCAGTGAATGGGTACAACGACTCTATTTCGTGGAGGCTTCTGTTTAAGCCACATGGCCGACTCAAGCTCACCCTCTTGGCCAATTGCATTGATATAGCTACCTTGTGAGCTTAGCCAAAGCCCTCCCACTTCTCTCCATTATTGATTCATCATCTTAGTGAGATTGAGAGAGAATCCAAGTGTATTGCTTGAGTGTTTACATCTAGAAGCACTTGGTATTTGTGTTTCGCTGTGGGATTCGCTTGTTACTCTTGGTGGTTGCCGCCACCTAGATGGCTTGGAGCAGCAAGGATCATCGAGCGGAGGGTGGTGATTGTCTCCGACTCCGATCGTGGTGATTGTGAGGGGTTCTTGACGTTTCCCCAGTGGAAAGCCAAAAGGTATTCTAGTGAATTGCTCGTGGCTTATGTGATCCTCATCTTGTGTTGATTGTGTGGTACCCTATTGAAGGTTTGGCGTGTGATACCAATTAGCGCGTGAACCTCCTAGTGAGTGAATCGCCACAACGAGGACTTACTTGTCGGCAAGCAAGTGAACTTCGATAAAAAATCATTGTGTCATCGTTTGATTCCGAGGTGATTGGTCTTCATTGGTATTCATTCTTGTGATTGATTGGTTCACTCTTTGACTCGGCGATATAACCATCTTGCTCACTCTCTTTACATTACCACAAACTAGTTATCAAGCTCTTTAGTGTAGCTAGTTGTAAAAGCTTGTTAGTTTGATTAGTGTGGCTCTTTAGTTAGCTTTTAAGAGCAAACTAACTTAGTATAGTGGCATAGCCATTGTGTGATTAGAAACTATAGAAACTAGAATTATGGTAGGTGGCTTACATTTTTAGTAGGCTAGCGTAACACTTGCTTCGCCTTATAATTGTCTAACCGGTTTGCTAAGTGTTGTGGTACAAATTTTCAATAGGCTATTCACCTCTAGCCATTAGGACCTTTCAGGAGTTCTCTGGAAATATCAGTTCTTATTTTTCGCGTATATATGTTGTGTGCAAATCATTCTTCCCTGGACACTTCCTCATAAGCAATGCTTATTTGTCAAGATCTATATTTGTAGGATTAAGTTCCATTGGTAGGTGTGTTTCTCATCATTTTAGTCTTAGGCCATTTATTTTAGAAGAATTTACTAGGTATCCTACAGAAAATATTAAGTGCGTGGTTGTTGAAATTCATTAAAGATTTTCATAAATACATAATGCACTCTCATAGCTATTTAAGGTTTGGGACTTTTGCAATGTATAAGTTGTCTGTCTAAACTTGCAGATCTAATTTGTTGTTAAACTTCAGAGGATATTTAGGGTACCTTAATCTTCGAACCAGAAAATAATCTTATAATTAAAGTTTTATTTGAGACCCTCTAATGAAAGCTCTTAATCATGAACAATTTATTCACTTAAATGTGAAAAGCTCTGTACTCTTTTACACATTTCTGAATATGTAAATCAATTCTAACCTATTGGTGGTTTTTTGTTGCCTGGACCTCCTGATTCATAATGCTGCCAAATATATATATTTATTGTATCTTGAGCTAAGCACTTCGGAATTCCTTGTGTGCCATTAAAAAAGATCGTAATGCCCTGTGTGCTTCTGAAAAGGTTTAGCGGTCTTCAGCGCCTACTGCTCCAACTTTTTTGTGCCCTCCATGCCACTGCCGTCAATTTGGGATCTGATACCGTCAAACTGTAGGTGTGAAAAGTCAAAAATACCCTTATATCTAAATATGTCATTAATTTTTTGAGCATCTTAACGACTTTAAATGAAAAAACTCAAAACTAGAAAGTTGTAGATCTCGTCGAGATCTATAATTTTTATATAAAAAATATTTTCATTTAATTCCGCAAAAAAAAAGATATGGTTTTTCTAAGATATATTAATCATATCAAATCATATTTTTTTACGGAATTAAATAAAGATAATTTTTATATGAAAATTATAAATCTCGACAAGATCTACAACTTTCTAGTTTTGAGTTTTTTTATTTGAAGTTGTTAAGATGCTAAAAAAAATTAATGACATATTTAGACATAAGGGTATTTTTGACTTTTCACACCTGCAGGTGACGGCGTTAGAGCCCAAACTGGCGGCAGTGGCATGAAGGGCAAAAAAAAAAGTTAGAGCAGTGGCGCTGAAGACCGCTGAACTTTTCAGGAACACACAGGACATTACGATCTTTTTTAATGGCACACAAGAAATTCCTCTTTCTTATTAATTATGTGTCCTACAAGGGATCTGTTGACAAATTTATTCTTTTACTTAGTGGTATATTAGTGCTTGGAAAATTACACTTAATTTGTGGCAACCTATTCAATCAAAATATTACATTTCATTTTATGCTTCTTCTAAGACCGAAATTAAGTGAATCTATTTTGAAGATACTACTAACTTCTTCTATAGGACGTTGGACCTCTGGGGCTAGAATGATCTGGACTGTATGCTTGCATGGCTTTGTTATGGTTCCTATAGGAGTGTCAGGTGCATAATAGTGGATATGGTTTTCGGTCCTCACCATGCATTTTTCTTGCGAGTGGTTGATATGAACTAAACTTCAATAAATCTTTTTTCCTGTTTCTGTGTGGCAGGATGAGATGGAGACCTTCACCACCCTCAAGTGTCAACAAGATCGATGAAGGATGCTAACACATCATAGTATAGTTTTTAATATATCTATTGTATTCTATTGTTTGATGAGCACACATATATACTATTATAGCTCAGTTGCCCCGGGTCCAGGAAGAGTTGCTAAACCATATATATTACACATTTCTTAACATTGGTTGTTTCCATGTATTTAAAGATATGGGCTACTATCTGTGAAAGTTTTCACATATATTGCACATTTATTAATGTTGGTTGTTTCCATGTATTTAAAGATATGGTCTGCTTGAATCTGTGAAAGTTGATCTCACATATTTTCCTTTCATAGTTATCATGTGATTATTTGTTTAGTTGCAACACAGGGAAATGTCTATACAGTAGAGTTGGTGACCCTGCGATGCCGCACTATCCGTGACTGTTAATTTCACAAACTTTGTTTTTTAGATTAACTGTAACTTTAATGTTGATATTTAATTTTTACAGTATTATTATCTTATCATGCGATCCGTGTGTTTTTAGTATAAATGGTTAGCTATCCTGTAGCAACGCACATGCACGCTACTTAGTGTGTGTATATATATATATATATATATATATATGCGCGCGCGCGCGGGGCTCGCGAGTGTGTCTTGACCCTTGAGTGATTAACCTTGAGCTAGCCGTCACCGCTGACACGCACCTGATCGATCAGCTGCGTCAGCTTGTGTCGCCATGGCCGAGCACAAAAGCTTGCTGCCATCATGGTCAGGGACGGGATCCGAGCGTCGACCGATCTTGGTCACGGGATGGAACACGGAAAAAAAATTCCTTGCGCTCGTGATGCAGAAAATCTCTCGTGCCACACCGATCTTATGTCGTCTGATCTTTGATCTGTTGGTCATTGTCGCGCATGGTTGCATGTCGTCCAAGCTGCCACCCTATCTTTCTGCGGAACGCAGCACTCCGTCAAGTTGAGTCAGGACGTGGACTGCAGCAACACAGTGTTGCACGAGAAATTTTCTACATTACGAGAATTTTTTTCGTGGAACACTGCACGCACGTATCCATACATGCATGTTGTATTATTCTCAAAGCTCGTGCCTGCTTTAATTTGGTCCTTCTCTGCTCACTGTATAAAAAACCTTTTCATGATCAAGCTGCAAGTTGATATTCCCCCTGTTTTAAATTATAAGTCACTTTGACTTTTCTGGTATATTCATTTTGCTACCATTTTGCTATGCATGTATAACAAAACGAATGTACCAAAGCGACTTATAATTTAGAACGGAGGGAGTATATTCGAACCGTATATTTAGACCAATGAATGGAGTTATACTTAGTATAGAAGACAAAGTGGTCATTGGTCTTTGTTACTACTCCTATACTATATATTGCAGTAACATGTACTACACACATTGTATATACACTTTTACTTACCCAGGCGGTGCGGGCTTTGATAATTGATGAATGATAGAGGGCGGCGCGCGCGTGCCCGTCTCATTTTCGCGGCAAGTTCCTCGTTTCAGATTCTGATCTGTCCTCCTTTGTCCTGTCGTATATCCTTTTGGCATCTGTGTCCGTGTTTGTTTATTCGGAGCTTTCGAAGAATTTTGTTACCACGACATCGCCACGAAGGGAGCTGGCGTGCGATTTTTCTGGTCGTGTAAACTGTAAAGTCGTGGAAGATCGGCACCAGAGTACTTTAGACCGCCTGAAGGGGTAAAGGATGACCATTTTTCCACCATTTCGTAGTTTACTATACCTGCAAACATTTCCCTCTTTAGACCCACGTCGTGAAGAATGCGTGTTTCATTTTCTAACGGGGCTCGGACGACAAAAAAGATGAGGCATCTATTGGATAAAGCTGATTCAGAAATCAGAATATACAAGGTACATATCGCGCGCCAAGGCCAGGACGACGTGGGATGGGTTGGACCTTGTCATCAAGCCCCATACTCCGGCCCAGCCCAAGGAAGTCAAGAACCGAAGGAGCTCCCGGCCCAGGACTTCGTCCAAGAAGCTAAGCGGCCCTGAATGGGTTTGTAACGTGTGCCTTGTGGCCCAGAAGGAGAGTGAGTGAAATAGGAGTGGATTGTGCCTGGAAAAGGCAAGCTGTAAATGACTAAACATTCATCTTCTTCGTTTACAAGTAATCGTCCTCGCCGGCACTTCGCCGCCGACGCCGTGGGCAACAGTTCGTCGGAATCTCTCTTCTCTCTCTCTTCTGTAGCTAGCTGCTAACAATCTGGTATCAAAGCTACCGATCTACGGCAGGAACTCTGGATTTGGCATCGCATCCTCATTTCACACGCTTCCAGAGATCCCAGGGAGCGATGGAGCCCAACGTCAAGTCCGCGTTCGAGCAGATCCTGAGCCGCCTCGACTCCATCGACGAGCGGTGCGGGCGCATGGAGAAGGGCGCCGCCGACACCAAGCGCGCGCGAGGAGCGGGATGCAACGGTGGAGATCCACGTCGACCAACTTGAGAAGGCGGTGGGAACCCAAGCTACTTCGTCCTCTACGGCCGTCGTCCAGATCCAGGCGCAAGAGGAGCGCACCACCGCGCTCGATGTCCGCGTCACTTCGCTGGAGAAGGTCTGCCACACGCAGGCCCACGCCGCCGTCCTCTTCGACGTCCGCGTGCAGGACTTCGAGCAGCGGATCGCGGAGGCGGAGCTGCGGATGGGGGATCTCGAACTGATCCACGTCTACGAACTCCGGGACGAGCGCGACGAGAGGGTCTCAACCCTGGAGTCTGCGGCGGCGGTGCTAGAAGATTGGCGGCCGTTCGTGGACGGAACGCTCGACGACATCCGTCTGGAGATCAAGCGCCTCAAGGACAAGTGGGATCGATCTCTCCTGGGACCAAGCTTCGTGCCCCCAGGCATGGAGATCTCCCCAATTCGTTAGTCGATTGCCGCGCGCCCACCTGCTGCTGGCTATGAAATCGACTGGCTCGATGGGCACCGTTCTGCACCTTCGGCTCGGGAGCGGGGCCATGGGTCTGTGACGACCCTGGTTCCGAACCCGAACAATGGTAAGCTCGAAGCTCCTCCTCCTCCTCTGCAGTTCAATTCGTGCTCGCTGCCGTGTGCCGCCATGATTCGTCCTCCGGATCCACCACCCTTCCCACCAAATCACTACTACTGTTCTCCCACTCATCACCCTGCACCTCAACCACCACTTCCACTTCCACCTCCTCCGAATCCTCCCTATTCTTCACCAATTCCATCATACACCTATCATCCCCCACCAATTCATCCACAATCCTTCTCCAACCCACCCTACACCCACCCCATACCTCGTTACCCACCAATTCAGCACCAATTCATCTACTCTTCTCCTCATCAATTTCAATCTATCACCACCCAGTCACTGCCGTATCCCAACTCTGTTCCTGCTCCCCATTACCCTACATACACCACCCAAGCCCCTATGCCACACGAAATCAATCTGGGTCACCTCCCTAAGATGAATTTCCCTTAGTTTGATGGCGATAACCCACAGCTTTGGATAACCTGTGCCCAAAATTACTTCGAAATGTATTCGGTTCCTGACCAAGTTTGGATCAGGGTTTCCACCCACCATTTCATCAGCACTGCTGCTCGTTGGCTTCAGTCCATTGAGCGTAACCTCCCTCATGATTGGCAAACCTTCTGTCGCATGATCCACCAACGATTTAGCTGCGATCAACATGAACTTCTCATCCGCCAGCTCTACCATATTAAGCAGCTCACTACTGTCCAAGACTACATTGAGCGCTTTACCACATTAGTTGAGCAGCTTTCAGCCTATGCCAATCCTGATCCCCTCTACTATACAACTCGGTTCATCGACGGCTTGCGACATGATATTCGTTCCATTGTTATGGTGCAACGTCCTGGCGACTTGGACTCTGCCTGCACTCTTGCTCTGTTACAGGAGGAGGCTCTGGACCCCGGTCCCCGGAGGGAGTTCAAGAAGTCCGACAATTCTATTTTCAACAAGTCGGCAAACATCAAGGGAGCATTGCCAATGCCACCACCAATTCCTCGTCCTCATGTCACCAATGATGAGAAGAAGGCCCAACATGCTGTGACCGGTGCCTCCACTGATGATAAGCTCTCAGCAGTGCGGACTTACAGGAAGGCACGTGGACTGTGCATCAGGTGTGGTGATAAATGGCAGCCGGGCCATAAGTGCAATCTACAACTACATGTGCTGCAAGAATTCTTTGATCTCTGTCATGAGGATTACCAGGAACCTGATACTGCTTGTGATCAGTCTCCGGATGATGAGGGTCAGCTAAACATGCTATTGTCTGCCGCAGCCACTTCTGGTCAGTTGTCTAGTCGCACTCTGCAGTTCCTGGGTGTTCTGGGTGGCATTGAGGTAGGCATATTGGTTGACTCCGGCAGTAGCCATTCGTTCCTCAGTTCATCTATTGCAGCTCAGCTTGCCATTGTCACACATACTTCCCGGCCAATCTCAGTACGTCTAGCTGACGGGGGTACAATGCAGTGTACTGAAGAATTGTCTGCTGCAGAATGGTCAGTACAAGGATATTCATTCCACTCAAACTTCAAGATACTTCCTCTCAGTTCCTTTGACATGATAGTGGGCATGGATTGGCTTGAAGCCTTTTCTCTGATGAAAATTCATTGGTTGCAGCGCTGGATTTCTCTACCTTATGGCCGTTCCACTGCTGTACTGCACGGGGTATCACCTACATCTCAAGACTGTCAGCTGTTGCACTTATTCTTGGTGTCATCAGATTCACCGAGTTGTCAGTCCGAGGCAGTCCATCCGGATGTTCAGCCCATACTCAAGCAGTTCGAGCATCTTTTTGCTGAGCCAACTGAACTTCCCCCTCGCCGGGACTGTGACCACAAGATTCCACTGGTTCCAGGAGCAAGTCCTGTATCTGTCCGGCAATATCGCTATTCTCCTGCCCTTAAGACTGAAATTGAGACCCAAGTGTCAGATATGCTACAGACTGGGTTCATCAGACCAAGCTCTAGTGCATTTTCTTCCCCTGTTCTGATGGTTAGGAAGAAAGACGGCGGCTGGCGGATGTGTGTGGGATCCGGTTCCTCAATTCCCTCACAGTGAAATCCAAATTTCCAATCCCGGTCATCGACGAGCTGTTGGACGAGTTGGCAGGTGTTCAATGGTTCACCAGCCTTGATCTGCGAGCTGGCTTTAACCAGATTAGACTCGCCCCGGGTGAAGAACATAAGACCGCTTGTCAAACACACTGGGGTCAGTTCGAATACACAGTTATGTCTTTTGGGCTGACAGGTGCACCCAATACCTTCCAAGCATTTTTGATTGCGGCACCTGTATTGGCGTTGCCGGATTTCTCGAAGACGTTTCAAGTTCAGACAGACGCTTCTGATGCCGGCATCGGTGCTGTCCTCACACAAGATGACCATCCATTCGCTTTTATCAGCAAGTCCTTGGGGCCAAAGACTCGTGGTATGTCCACCTATGAAAAAGAATACCTAGCGGTGCTAGTTGCAGTTGATCACTGGCGCTCCTACTTGCAACATGCTGAGTTCGTCATCATGACAGACCAGCGCAGCTTGATTCATTTGTCAGACCAGCGCCTTCATACACAGTGGCAACAGAAGCTCTACACCAAGCTGGTGGGCCTACAGTACCGCATTGTTTACCATCCCGGGTCTTCTAACCAGGATGCCGACGCTCTTTCTCGGCACCCCAATCCACCCACTGTGTTGAATGCCATCTCCTCCACCTCACCGCAGTGGCTCGAGGAGGTTTCAGCCGGCTATGTGCAAGACCCATTCTCTGCTGCATTATTACAGGAGCTATCTGCAGCTCCTCAGAGCAGGCCGCCGTATACATTGATCAATGGCATTATCAAATTTCATGATCGCATTTGGATAGGAGATAATCCAACTGTTCAGCAGCGAGTGATCTCGGCCATGCATTCGTCTGCTCTCGGGGGACACTCAGGCTTCCCAGTCACTTACAGCAAAATGAAGAAGCTTTTTGCCTGGAAAGGTATGAAGTCAGCAGTCCGTGCCTTTGTTCAGTCTTGCAGTATATGTCTTCAGGCTAAGCTGGACCAAGCCCGCTACCCTGGCTTGTTGGTCCCATTACCTGTGCCCACTGAGTCTTGGCAAGTTCTGTCTATGAACTTTATTGAGGGGTTACCTCGGTCTGGCAATGCAAATTGTGTGCTTGTTGTGGTGGACAAGTTCAGCAAGTTTGCTCACTTCATACCCTTGCTCCACCCGTTCACCGCAGCTACAGTAGCCAAGACTTTCCTGGACAACATCTACAAATTGCACGGTATGCCGTCCCATATAATTTCTGACAGACATCGCATCTTTACAAGTACCTTCTGGCGTGAACTGTTCAAGTTGGCCAACACTACTCTGTGCATGAGTTCAGCCTACCACCCTCTGTCCGATGGGCAAACTGAACATGTTAACCAATGTCTGGAGACCTATCTACGCTGCTTTGTCCATTCCTGTCCGCGCAGGTGGCTGCAATGGCTTTCTCTCGCCGAGTTTTGGTACAACTCAAGCTGGCATTCTTCTTTGGGCCGGTCACCGTTTGAAGTTCTATACGGACACGCTCCTCGCCACTTTGGTCTGTCACCTGAATCGGCAACTGATGTTCCAGAACTGGACTCCTGGATGCAAGGGCGTGAGGTCATGATCTCTTCTGTAAGCTAACACCTTCTCCGTGCACAGCAACGCATGAATCTCCAGGCCGACAAAAAGCGCTCTGATCACCAGTTTGAAATAGGTGACTCTGTATTCCTCAAATTGCAATCATATGTCCAGTCTTCTTTGGCCCCTCGCGCCAACAGCAAGCTATGCTTCAAGTATTTTGGGCCTTTCATGATGATTGACAAGATTGGGGCTGCTGCTTACAAATTGAAGCTTCCAGATGGCTCATCTATTCATCCAGTATTCCATGTCTTACTGCTCAAACCGGCAACCACTACCCTGTCCCAGGTATCGCCTACTCTTCCATATGTTACTGATGCCTTACAAGTGCCTGAGCAGTTTCTTCAGCGCCGCATGCATCCTCGTGGCTCTGGTTCGGTTGCTGAAGTTCTGGTCAAGTGGTCTGGCATCTCTGAAGAACTATCCACCTGGGAAGATGTCGACCACCTGAAGCAGCTCTTTCCGTTTGCTCCGGCATGGGGACATGCCGGGTCCCAAGGGAAGGGGAGTGTCATCAAGCCCCATACTCCGGCCCAGCCCAAGGAAGTCAAGAACTGAAGGAGCTCCCGGCCCAGGACTGCGTCCAAGAAGCTAAGTGGCCCTGAATGGGCTTGTAACGTGTGCCTTGTGTCCCAGAAGGAGAGTGAGTGAAATATGAGTGGATTGTGCCTGGAAAAGGCAAGCTGTAAATGACTAAGGGGATGTTTGGTTCCTTAGTCGCTTCTAAAATTCATGTCACATCATACTAATAAGGAGCATTAAGTATAGATTAATTACAAAACCAATTACATAGATAGAGGCTAATTTACGAGGTGATTTTTTTAAGCCTAATTAATCTGTCATTAGCATATGGTACTGTAGCATCATGTTGTCAAATCATGGACTAATTAAGCTTAAAAGATTCGTCTCGCAAATTAGTCGTAAGTTGTGCAGTTAGTTTCGTAATTAGTCTATATTTAATATTTCATGTATGTGTCCAAACATTCGATGTGATAGAAATTTTAGGAGCACCTAAAGAACCAAATAGGGCCTAAACATTCATCTTCTTCGTTTACGAGTAATCGTCCTCGCTGGCACTTCGCCGCCGTGGGCAACAGTTCGTCGGAATCTCCCTTCTCTCTCTCCCTTTCGTAGCTAGCTGCTAACAGACCTGTACTAGTTTTACGGGCTAGGTTGAACCCATTATGTGTTTGGTTGAGAGGACGCGTGTCTCTAGTGTTGCGTTTGGTTTGAAGGAAATATAGAAGTGGGTTGAGACTATGACGTCTCGGGCCCTCGTGGCAGCCTCTCACCCCTTCTAACTTGCTCAGATTCTCTGCTCGCTCGTCCCACCACGCTCTAGCCACCCGTCCCACCATGTTCTAGCTGATGGACGTCAGCGGCGCTTCAGCCACTCGCCACACCGTACCTTGCCATCACAGCCACGCACCGTATGCCCAACTGTTCGCTGCCACAGTGGCTCTTTCGCACGCTGCGCTGCTGGTGCCTTGCGCGTGGCCGCCCCCGCCGCCGCCACGGTAGCTCCTCCGTGTGTGCGCACGCGGATGCTCTCCATCTGGGTAGAACTGGTCTGGGTGTTTTGGTGGTATTGAACGGGCCCGCATCTAGTGCGGATATTCCCTAGTAGAATTAGTTAGTTTTGATAGTCTCCAAACCAAATAGTTCGAAATATGGGTCCAACCCGCAATCCAAATGCACCGTGTAGAAGCAGGTTGGATCGATTTCTTAGAAACGAAGAGACAGTGACGACCCACTTCTTCGTCACTCGTCACGCGTGCTTGAACGACCGCCTGGAGCGGTAGGCAGTGGCCATGTGGGCGCACCAGTGACTTGCGGGGGGAGCAGCGCTCGTGGATCAATGCTTGGAATAAGCGACGGGGAGAGGAAAGTGGAGAAGAAAGGGGAAGAAGAATTAAGAGGCTGCCATGTGAGGCCCATATGTCAGCCAGATCATTCCACATCTATTTGCCTACAATTCTACAAACTAAACACAGAACTGGAACGAAGCCAACCTCTGCAACCAAAAACGAAACACAAGACATGAGGTCCATTTGGCAACCTTTGATAATGTGTGATGAAACCTGTCTCATAGCTACATTTGCAACCACAGCTAGCGGTAAAAGCACTGCTACATAAAGGATTTGAAGGCAGCTGGCCCAGTCGCCTTTACTTGTCCATCTTCTACAGGCGACTAAAAACATGAGCCACCTCTACAAATGAGTTTCTAGAAGCGGCTCAAAATCTAGCCACCTCTAGAAATCGTTTTCTAAAAATCACAAATCAGGACAAAAATAGCCAGGACATCCAAAGCAAGCCATGGTGCCACAACAATAAACAACTCAACAGCTTCCTCAAGAGTGGGCAACATCAACCTCAAGTCATCCCAGAGCTCAACCTCATTGACAAAGATCATACACATCCTTTACGCCAGATCGTGGTGCTGAAGGACTTCCAAAGCAATAGACATTTTTACCTTAGCTGAAGGAGGCCCATCTGGTGAAGACAACAGTCAGGATGGGAACATGAGATGATGCTACCTAAACTACTCTAGGAAAGGTGAAGACACTAAAATGGAACATAATATGGTAAGTAGATGTCATGTGGGGAAGGGGAAAACTCGTGAGATGGCGATGTATCACGTGGTGTCAGTGGCTAAAATGCAACCCTTAGTTTATGTTAGAGCTCCACTAAGGTAAGCTCCCAGTCATTAAACCTTCTCTCAGTCACGGTGTTGGGCTCGGCACCAAGGCTCCTAGTAACCAACACAAGTGTCGCAACACAATAAAAGGCTCACCACTTGCCACCCAACTCTCCCGGGCACCAAGATTCCATTTACTAGAGAGCATCTCAATGCTATGTCTCTAGTTCATGATGACCCTACAACCAAGACATAAGGTCCATTTGGCAACCTTTGATAATGTGTGGCGAAACCTGTCCCTTAGCTACATTTGCAACCACAGCTAGCGGTAAAAGCACTGCTACATAAAGTATTTGAAGGCAGCTGGTCCAGTCGCCTTTACTTGTCCATCTTCTACAGGCGACTAAAAACAGGAGCCACCTCTACAAATGAATTTCTAGAAACGGCTCAAAATCTAGCCACCTCTAGAAATCGTTTTCTAAAAATCACAAATCAGGACAAAAATAGCCAGGACATCCAAAGCAAGCCATGGTGCCACAACAATAAACAACTCAACAGCTTCCTCAAGAGTGGGCAACATCAACCTCAAGTCATCCCAGAGCTCAACCTCGTTGACAAAGATCATACACATCCTTTACGCCAGATCGTGGTGCTGAAGGACTTCCAAAGCAATAGACATTTTTACCTTAGCTGAAGGAGGCCCATCTGGTGAAGACAACAATCAGGATGGGAGCATGAGATGATGCTACCTAAACTACTCTAGGAAAGGTGAAGACACTAAAATGGAACATAATATGGTAAGTAGATGTCATGTGGGGAAGGGGAAAACTCGTGAGATGGCGATGTATCACGTGGTGTCAGTGGCTAAAATGCAACCCTTAGTTTATGTTAGAGCTCCACTAAGGTAAGCTCCCAGTCATTAAACCTTCTCTCAGTCACGGTGTTGGGCTCAGCACCATGGCTCCTAGTAACCAAGACAAGTGTCGCAACTCACTAAAAGGCTCACCACTTGCCACCCAACTCTCCCGGGCACCAAGGTTCCATTTACTAGAGCGTCTCAATGCTATGTCTCTACTTCATGATTGTCGCAGAACTGACCAATTTATAAGAGTACAAGTACAATGGCGTCCCGCAAGCGGTCGTACTGTCATACTTGAACCCATATAATCCTGGTAGTCCGTCGAGCACCACGACGGGTCTCGATAAACGATTTACAACAACCAAGATCGTACATGATTCAACATACATGCCACATATTACATAAAGTTCACAGATACATTTTCATCATCAGAGTATGAAACCAGTTATTACAAACCAAGTTTGATAGATAAAGCGGAAGCAATTAAGTTCGAAAGTAAAGTTTCCAACATAGTTTAGTACAGTGCCAAGCAGGATCACAGTCCACAAAAGCAAAGATAGGGATTAATAAAGAAGCCTGCCCAAGGTTTACTCCTCATCCACGGCGGGATAGAAGCAGCTCTTGCAATAACCATGATACACAGTGCCATCTGCAACATGGGAAATAAAACCCTGAGTACAAGAAGGTACTCAGCTAGACTTACCCGTCATAAACCAGAAATAAAATGACTCCAAGGATTATTCAAGGCTGTATAAGTGGGGATATCTTGACAACATTTTGCATAAAAGCCATTAACTTAGCTATACAATTATGGTTCCAATATCAGGTTAATTATAACTATCCATCTCTAGATTAGCAACTATCCTGTGCCAAACATGTGGTATATCCATTTAAAAGCATACAATAGTAACCATAGCAGGTATTGCAATTCCATAATCATCCGAACCATCATGTTCCATAGCACAGTTACTACGATGTTGGGACTAGCCAAGTTTCTCACTATCCGGGAGAGACGGCGATTCGAATCGATTTCAACCAGCTGGGAATTTATTCCTAACACAAACCCAGGCATACCGCGCGAAGGCAGCATTAGGTCACCTTTGGTACAACTCAGGTACACATTTTGTGGGTCCGTACCGCGCCGCACAATCTGGGACACCAGATGCCAGGACGTTCAGGCCTAGCCTGCCCTTGGTCTCAGTCTGATCGCCCCCCCGCAAGGAGCGCACAACAGAATGGGTCCCAGCCTAAGTTGAGCTACTCGGCTTCGCGGTCAGAACGAGTTATCCAGCCAGCTAAGTGATAGGCATGCGTTCAATCTTGTCAGAAGCACTAACAACGGTACGGTCCTTAATCGACACAGACGGGGATAGATCCACACCCAAGACCTCCATGTCTTGTTGCTTCTCTATCGACATCCCGCCCGGTCTCCATTTACATTACCCCATGATTCTTTTCCACGATAGCAAATATAGCCCACCGTGCTTCGGTATCCACCTATATCTCGCAGGTGACAGGAAATCACCCGACTTCTACCGGTCTAAGCAGGGCTAAGCATATATTCGATCCTGGACCTATACAGGGTGAAAGGTGTATATATCTGGACAAGGTAGTTCCATGCATCAAGTGTTTCCATTCAACTCTTATAACCTAATGCATCAATCATAAGTACTTAAGTAATCATTTGTAAAATACTGGGAGACTTAGAATGCTCCGGGGCTTGCCTCGTAGAAAGGAAGTAGGGCGGTGATCAGGACACTCCAGAAGCTCTTCAGGATTCTGCTCCTCGCCTTCGGGAGCTGCGACTCGAGGATTCTCCTGCTGGTGCCCTTTCTCTACTTCGTCGAATTCCAGCAACGTTATTTCTTCATCCGATCCTAGATGCATGAATATGGCATAAGATATTGCGAATGCATACATGCGTACAAGTATAAAATGATGACACATGATGAATGCATTCATATAAGTATTCTTAACAGCATGGTGTTAACAAATGCATCATATTTTATCGAGTAGGTGCATATCTCTCTTAATTACTTAATCAAACACATTTACAATTCA